CCATGTCTCATTTAGCTCACGTTCTTATATTCTGTAGAAAAGCCCCAAAAATCAAGATTTTTCAGGTCTCATTCAAGAGTTGTTTGTCTATAGAAAGGTCTCTTCTATTTGTACATTTTATAGAAAACTTCCTAAGGGAATTATTTTTCCTAAGTGGGATCTTCTCAGTCCCAAGAATTATCTAAATACATACAAAATATTAAAGGGATCTCCCAACTATATAATTCCTTCAAAATTTATCAATTCTTGCAGTTCTCTAGAATACCACTTAACAAGATCATCCTTTCATAGATGACCTCCAAGGGGGTTATCTCTACAGAATTGTTCCCAAGTGTGTCCAATCTATAAGAGGATTATTTTTACGGCCGCCAACCAAGCAAGTTCTCTCTATAGAAGATTTCACAACAGATTTTTTATATAAAAATAAATATTTTTTATGACTGTAACATCTACAATTAAATACCACAAGACGAAATTTGTTGATAACCAAATATTCTACAAAAATGACGATTCTCAAACACCATATGCACCCTGTAATAAATAACATTTCTAATAGAAAAATTCAATTTACAAATGGATTATCTAAAATTAGAAACTGAAAATTTCAAATTGTAAATAAAGAGTTACAAGTGAAATGTGTATGTTGAATTCGAAAATATTGTAAAGAACTTTTACCAGAAATTTCGAATTTCAGTATTTCTCACTCTTGACAATATTTTTGACACATTTCACACAAATATTGGAACGGATATTCTTACAAGTCATGGAAGGGAAATAGGAAATAGTACCCACCGTGTATCCGTTTGAAAAATATTTACACATGTAGACGTGCAAATACATGTACACACACATACATACATTCAGACATATGTAAGTATTTGCGTTTATATTACTTATTTTTGAGTATCCTATACCACAAAGAGGGCCAAGATAAGCATTTATGTATGTCCAAATTGTAAAAAAGTCCTTGGTCACTCGTGAGAAAAATTAATTTGATGTTTGTAGTTGAGAAATATAAATTTTTGTAGCTCTGATTGTAAAACATCGACTCTCTGAGTCTCATAAATGATTCGTGTTATGATTAGCAACAGACGAAATATGTACCCCAGTCTTATTTTCAATTTCCATATTCATAACCAGCAAACGTTCATATATAACAAGTCCTCTACGATCCCAACGAATCTTTGGTCTAAGCACAGATGATTTTCTCTTCATTGTAGTGGTGTAGGATATCATTAAATCGTTTTTTTTTTCTGATTGATAGGAACATTTAAAGAATACAGCAAAAGCAAAAGAAAGAAAATAAATCAAAGAAAAGCTTTGTTTTTAACTCAATTTATTTCGTTTTCAGTTGTTGTTGTTTTTTTAATTTACATATAAAACATTTTCCAATTTGTTGTTTTTTTTATTTAATAAAATCTAAAGAAAAGTTTACAACATTTAAAATTAAAGAGAAAAAAAACATATTTATCGGTTAGATGAGAAAATAAATTATTTGGTTTACATTACTTTTGGTTTTTTTGTGATTTAATTTTTTTTACGTTTGGTATTTTATTTTTGTTTTTAATAAAATTATTTACAACAAAATGCAACAAAAACAAGCATACATACGTACAGATAATATGATATAATATTTTTTTTTTGTTTTGTTTTATGGTTTATCAGATATGAATTTTTTATAAAATTTTTTGTTGGTTGGTACTTATGATTTCATTATTAAAACATTAACAGAATTTGGGAAAATATGCAGTGTGAATACAAATAGTATGTTGATTTGACAATAACAATTATTTTCTTTTCAATAAATTTAAGTACATTTATTGGGAGGCGAGTTTTGGGGAAAATCAGGTGTGGTGTTTTGTTTTAAAAATACATTTATTACATTCAGTACTAAAACAAAAACTAAAAAAAAAATAATTGACTTTGTTTTAATTGTGTGGTGGTGGTGGTGGTAATAAGTTTGGCAGATTTTTGAAGTTTTAAATTTTTTTATCACAATACGAAATAGTTCCACAAAAATTTAGCTCATCATATTTCAGATACTTTCTGTAAAAGGCTCCCCAGGAATCTGGATTTTTTCAGATTACCTTAGAAATTCTTAAAGGTCCCAGTCAGTTGTTTGCTTATTGAAGGCTCCTAGGTTCTTCTGAGGCCTCTTCTATTTAAAAAAAAACCCTGCCAAATGTACACATTTTATAGAATACCTCCTAAGCGAGTTATTTCTCCTAAATGGGATCTTCTCTGTCCCAAGAATTATCTGAATATATAGAAGATTTTAAAGGGATTTCCCATCTATATAAGCCCTTCCATGATTATCAATTCTTGTCATTCTATAGAATACTTAAAAAGATTATCCTTTCACTTAAAAAGATTATTTTCCTTTTCCCATCAACTTCTCTCTATAGAAGATCCCACAACGGCGTTCTATGTATAAACAAATCATTTAATACGATTTTTTTATGTTTTTTATTTGTAATTGAAACAATTTTATTTGTAATATGAATTGCTCGATTTGTAATTCGAACCATTGTATTTCAATAATACCGGCTCGTGAAACTCGTGTCCAATTTTTAAACGTCTCTGGGATTTACCAAAGACATACAGTCAATATGCTAAGGAATAGATCACTTGCAACATACGCGATCAAGGTCATGGAAGGGCCCTTTAACCGCTATTGCAGATCCCCACTGTAAAATGGGCATACGCGAGGAGTGATTTGAACCTGATTAAGGCTTAATCGATTTTGAATACCGCTTTTTATTGGATGATGTCTAGGGCATTAATGGCCAGACAAGCCATAGTTGCTAGTTCTTCTGGCCTAAATTAAGTTTTAATCCAGAGACTATACACTGAATCCACAGTAGCGTTATGACACAAATTCTATTATACGCGCCTATGGAGAATATTTAATTTGGAACCAGATTAAGATACTACCACTTCTAGTGGGCAGAGGCTATATTTGGTGGGTGACCAGTCTCGAACTGTTTGGAGACCCAGTAAAAATATTGTTCGCTATTAACATGTCCGAAGGTTTTAGATAGCATGGATGTCTGAAGACCTTATGTTTGGTGTTGCCCCCTTACAGTGTATCCTGCTTGTTGTGGTAGAGTTTCGACTGGGTGTGGAATTCTATTGAAACCGGATGCTATCAAAGGGAGGAGTTTTATAATGGACTTCACTCCTCAGCCAAGGAGGTGATCGTGTCCAAATGCGTGTGAATTATTGATGGCTGGACTATAATTGAATATAATTGGTTTGGAACTCAAAGCGAACTCTGAACTAATAGCTTTGGCTATGAAGCTAAGCAGATTTTATATTATGTGGGTTGCCAGTCTCGAATTGTTTGGAATTCTATTGGAAATAGTTAAAATTGGCGCTGTGTCAGCCTGGAAGTTTGTCCCTCTGAGGAGTATTAGGCTGTAGGTGGTTTATTACCAAATCGCGGGATGAGTTTCAGCTCGGTGTGAAGTTGTCTTGTAAGCGTGTGCAGGAAAAATCAGGGATTGGTACCTGCACTTTGGTGTGGCGATATTGGCTTTCGCTTTGTATTGACTGATGTTTATAGGACAGTGGGTTAGACCGCGAGGTCTAACTCTAAGTTCCTCTGCTTATAATCGGTTGGGAATTCAAAGCGAACTCTGAGGTACAATCATGATGAAATTTAAGAGGAGTTTATATATGTATATATATATATAAAATTCAGGAAAAAAATCTTTTGGAATTGAAATCTAGGGTGATAGTAAATCGAGGTTGAATACTCTTTCATAAATACAACATAGTAAAAAAGAACAAGGGTAAAAGTGTATCTACCCTAAATGACCCTATAATAAATGGAAATCACCGAATGAAGTCTGAAAAATTCCCCAACGGCAGATATTATGTATCTGAAAAGAGTGAGTCTTATATACCAAACTTATTAAAAACGTAATTTGAAATGAAAAAATTGTAAGGCATTCACAAGCTAGGGAATAGTTTTTGTGGGTATGTGTGTGTGTGAATTTGAAAAAAATAAGAAAGTTTAAGACTTTTTTAATTTGTGTTTATATTTTTAGGTATGCTTGATTTTAACAAAAAGTAACAACTAAACAGAAATAAAACAACAATATGTTTTTTTGTTAAACAATAAATTAACAGTTTTCAGTTTTTAAAAACATTGTTTTTTTTAATATATATGTATTGTTTTTTTTTTTATGAAACATGCCTTAAAGCTAAAATTCGATTTAAAATGATTTTAATTTGTTTTGTTTTTTTCTATTTACTTATTATGGGAATTTAATGGTTTTTCCGTTTTTTGGTTTTTCAAATTATATATAAATTCTTATAAAATAAATACATATGTTATTGTTGTCTTTGACATATGTTTAAAATATTTATATATATATATATATATATTAGATGTACTTACAATACTATGTACTACATACATATACATTTTGTTTGGTTGTTTTTTTCCATTCACAAACATATATATGCACATGAATACATCCAAAGTTGTGGTTGTGAGGATAATCGCCTTAAAATTAATTGTTTCGGGGGAGGCGGGGAAGTTGGGAGAGATTTTTTGGGATTTTTTTCTTTTGTTTTCTGAAAATTAGTTTCTTCATTAACTTAATTACTAATCCTTAATTTGTTAACTACGTCATAGGTTGTCATGTTGTTGTTTTCTTTTTTGTATTTTATAAACCTATTCATATATCATCTGTACGATACGTCTAGAATATATAACATCCTTGGCTCACATTTTGGTTTGGTTAATTAAATCGTTTTTATTTTTATAAATATTTTGTTTTTGTATAATAATTTCTAGAATCGGGACCAATGGTTGGAGGTAAATTTGATGAGGGGACAGACAGACGAACTATTTTGTATGTGCTCTAACAAATCACACCTTTTTGTTGTTTTAATACTTGAGACGTGAATTACGAAATTAATTGCATTTATTACGAAGTTTGTTAGTTACGCAGAGAGGATGTCGCTTATTTCAACGCTTTATGGAAGGAAGATTTGGATTCGTTAGTGGTTTTAGCGATAGAATTCTACATAGCCATTCTCATGTTTTTTTAACATCAATCATCCGTATTAGCCTCAACAACTTGATCATCATCGTCATTGCGGTGATTATGAACTTCATCATGATCATCAATGGTCTTTAGAAAGTCCTAGATTTTTTATATGATTTTTGTTTTGTTTTTTTTTTTTTTTCATTTTCATGCAAATTTTGTTAGTAGAAAATAATTTTTCAGTTGTTTTTTCCCAATTTTGATTTTAATGATTTTTTTATTGTTTAGTTACAAAGACGCATACACAAAACATAAATCATGATGGAAAATGTAAAATAAAAAAATGAAATTAAAAAACACAAAACAAAAAGGAAAAGAAAAAATTAAAATAATTGATTAGTAGTTAGTTAAGCCTTATTGGTTTTTTTAATAGAGATAGAGAAACCCTAATATTTAAAAATTTTGTCATCATTCTATTTTTTTTTTCTTCTTTCACTTTCACATCTCATTTTTTATAATAATTTTACATATAATATTGATATAATAATAGCAATAATAAATTATAATAAAACAAACAAAAAAATGTTGGCATTTACTCATCCTCCTCCTCTCGGAATAAATAGGTGCTCCAGTAGACCAAATTGAATAGGGCAAAGACCAGTGGGAACGTTATTCGTGATATAACATCGATCCGCTTCGATCTAGAACATTGTCTTGAATAAATATTTTGGAAGGATATCACAGATTAATTATCACCATTTAGATTGACTTTTTGTGTGAGTGTTGATTTGTATTTTTTTGAATTCAAGTTAAAGTTAGAAACACTACTGCATAGATTATTAGAAAAATAGTATTTGACATTTAATTACATTTATTTAAATATAAATAATTTGTTTGTTTTATGTTACAATTACAAAAAAATTAATATAAGCAACATCGTTTACTAAGGCAAAGATATATGAACCATTAATATTACCCTTTTTTAAAATAAATAACCAAAAGTTATTTAAGTTATATACAAGAAAATAATATTGGATTATTAAGACCTCTACACCATATTTATACTCGTAATAGCTTTTATCATTTTCCCAAAATAGATTGTAAATATATTTATAGATGATATAGCAAGGGTTTTATGTAGACATCATAGTTAAAGATATCTAACTTAATAATATTAGGTTTGGAAAAAAGAAATCTATTATTTTTTCGGCATATGACTGTACTGATAAATTTCTCGTAAAATATCGATCAAACTATTTCAGATTTATGCTCTGTCTTAATATTGTAATCACTATATCTTCCAAACAAATACAGACATTTGGCTAAAATATTGCATAAAGTTGACTTTTGCTTCGGATGGCTAAATGTTACATAAAGTTGACTATTGCTTCGGTTCACGTTTAGGTATAGGGGAGAGGGGGGCACCTTTGAACACTTTTTTCTTTCAAGCCTTATAAAATTTTTTATTCTATAATTTTTGGTTTCTTTTAAATTTTAACTAATAGGTACATATGTAACCTTTAAAATGAATATACATATGACGAACTTTAAGAACACAACTATGTTGTCAGGGTATTATAGCTTTGTGCAGCCCCAAATGTTTGTAACGCCGCGAAATATTGGTCCTAGACCCACCTTTAAGTATACCGATCGTCATATCTCGACTAGCTGAGTCGATCTAGACATGTGTGTCCGTCCGTCCGTCTGTCCATTATAATTTGTAAACACGATACAGTTATGGACCAATCTTCACGAAATTTTGCATGTAGGATGGGTTCTGGCCAATGAAGACCCCTATTGTTTTTGGAAAAGGTCTAGGGGATGAAATGGACCAAAAACATTATTTTTGTCGGTTTTTCTGGTCGCTCCAGAGGCCGCAATTATGGCCCAAACACCGCGAATTTTTGCATGGAGAAGGGGATCGGGGCAGAGAATAAGCATGCATGTTTTTATAAAGATCGGTGAATATTTAGCGGGTCAAATGGACCCTGACTTTTGTGTGAAAAATTACAAAATTTGTATTCTATGGCATATATATTTACTCCTGGAGGATGTAGACCCGAGGAGTTGATAGCATATCCAAGAGGAGCGGTTGGGCTTTAAATTGATACCAAATATAGTTATGTATCTACTCAGATGTGGAAGTTACAGTCAAATATTTACAGGTGCTTACGTATTCAGATATTATTTAGTAACCCATTACCACATTAGAGGGGGAAATATCGCGCTGATGGCTTTGCAATTTTTCATGAAGTTCCAGTTATGGTCAAGAACAACGCCTGCAATTTTCGGTGAAGATCAGATTAAAATTTTGGGATGAAATGGACCGAAAACTTAATTTTTTGTGTGTTTTCGAGTCGAATATAGTCCGAAAATCACAACACAACCCACCGTGAAGGTAATCTGGACAAGTAATTAGAAGGACTGTACTGAATATTCGAAAAAAGTAAGGAAGAGGTGTTGTTGACCTCTAATCGGACAAGAGGGGGCAAATGTAACGAAATATTACTCAGACTCGGAATAAACATCCTCAGAAAGTTAGAGTTCGTGGTAGTTGTGTATGGTACCGTATGGTCGGCCCCGTCCGACTATACTGCTCCGCTCACTGGTTTATTATTGTTTTAGTGGACGAAGTCAAAGTGTTCAAAACTGCCCCCCCAGGGGGGTTAGCATTTTTGAATGACATGTTTTTTTACTGTGTTTATGTTCAAATATGTATGTAATTTATTCATACATATCAGAAATGGATTTATTCATTAAAAAATAAATATAAATGTTCGAAATTTAAAAAATTTGCATCAAAATTTATTAAAACATAAAATGACTTAAAAACAAAAATTAATATGGTGAAAAATACAGTTAATTTCGTAATCTTATTGTCCCATTTGAAATTTTGAGAAATTGAAGCCAAAAGTTGAAAACTCCGTTTTTTATCGAGTTTAATGGGCATGTTCAAACGTGCCCCACCCATGGCATTTTAGAAAAAAAAATCCCCTACACATCACAAATTACGGTATGTTAGACCCATTTCTTACGTAAATTTGTTGTAATTTGATATTTGGAGTTCTCATTAGGTAGCAAATCTCTGTACCAAAAAATGTATAATAAATATTCGTCCACATTTCGGTATTTTAAGGATTTCTGTCATATTATAACCTACATAACTATGTTAGGGTATTATAGCTTTGTTCAGCCCCAAGAATTTGTAACGCTGCGAAGTATTGGTCCTAGATCCGTAATATTTCGACTAGCTGTGTGTCCGCCCGCCTGTCTATTATAATTTGTAAAAACGATACAGGCCACAGTTATGGAAAAATAGTCACGAAATTGTACATGTAGGAGGGGTTCTGGCCAAAGAAAACCCCCATTGTTTTGGTAATGATCCGTTAATATTTAGGGAATCAAATGTACCAAAAACGTTATTTTTAGTCGCTCTAGAGGCCACAATTATGACTCCAACATCACGAAATTTTACACAGAGAAAGGGGTCTGATCATGGAATAAGCATGACGGTTTTGATGAAGATCTTTTGTGTGAAAAATTACACAGCTTGTATTCTATGGCGTATATATTTACTCCTGAAGAACATAGACCCGAGAAGTTGATAATATATCCAGGATTGTGGCTGGCCTTTGTTTAGTATTAATATTACCCCTCTAGAGGGCGGAAATGTCGCGCTGAACGCACATGAAGTTCCCGTTATGGTCAAGGATGATACCTATAATTTTCCGTGGTGTTGATATCATATTTAGGGGGTGCAATGAACCGAAAACTTAATTTTGGACAGATTTTCTAGCCCTTCTAGAGGCCACTATTATATGCACAACTTCACATATTTTATACGGTGAAGGGGTTCTGACCAAATATTTCGAAGGGCTGTTTTGATGATGATCTGTCAATATTCCGAGGGTCAAATCAACCAAAACCTAAAATGATTCACATCGGGATAACAAGATTTGGAAAATATGCCAGGGTTTAAATGTGGAGCTATTGACCTATATTGCCTGGCTCGCAATATAGATCCGCAGAAACTTAGACTTCAGAGGTAGTTGTGTACGGTATCTTATGGTCTACTCTGCTCACTGGTTGTATTTGTATTTGTTTCAAACACACAATTTTCAAAATGTCTGTTTCTCTGTCCTTGAACTGTGAGATATATTGTAAAAAAAATAGTTTCAAATTTTGAATTTCGTCCAAATGAAATATTTTCCTATATAAAGGCAGATTTGCTTCTGTTTCGCCTATCGCCATAATATTGGTCATATACTTCGACTTGTTCCGAACTAATTTTTGCGAAAAATATCCTCCTAAAGCTAGAATATTGAAATTTGGGGTGGGGTCCGGAGGTGTCAGGCTGTTTTTTTGGCATGAAAATAAATTTGGTACAATTTGAATTTTGAGAAATGGATGGAGCTGAAATCTTGAAATATATAACTTTGAAAAGTAATACTTTCCAAAACTATTGTACAGGGTTGCCCATATTTGACGGAGCCATCTGGCAACGCCATAAATTTTGACAGAGATGTCACATCGCTTAATGATATACCGCGTTTGAAGCGTCAGTCCAAGCAGATTTTTACCATGAACCAATACACGCCACGCGAGCGCTCTGAAATAGTTGAAATTTACATTCAACAGAAGAAGTCAATTGTGAAAACTCAACGTGCTTTTAAAACATTAAAAAAAGTGAGAAGTGCGCCTTCTAAGAACACCATTAAGCGTTTATACGAAAAATTTTCGACTGGTAAGGCTCTTTCTAATCCGAAGAGGCCATAAAAAAGTCGACCAAGTCGATCGGCCTAGAATATCGCTGCCGTACGAGCCAGTGTTGAGAGGTCCCCAAGAACATCCCAAAAACGCCGTTCTCAGCAGTTTGGCATGGCTCTACAACGGATTATCTACTTTACAACGGATTATTCGCATTGATTTGCATTTGTTCCCGTACAAAATTGCGGACAAGCCTCGTCGATTGGAATGGGCCCAAAGAGTCATCGAAATGGCCGAAGATGACGAGCAATTTTGGTACAAAATTATCATGTCCGATGAAGCCCATTTCACATTGAATGGGACCGTAAATAAGCAAAATTGCCGTTTTTACCCCACTGAAAATCCTCAGGAGATTCAAGAAGTGCCTCTTCATGACGAAAAAGTCACAGTTTGGTGCGGCGTTAGTGCGAAAACGGTCATTGGGCCGTTTTTCTTCCAAAATGAAAATGGCCGTGCTGTTACCATCAATCAGGAGCGTTATCGCGACATGATGACCAATTTTGTGATGCCAATTATTCGTCGAAAGCGTATGAGACAGTTCTGGTTTCAACAAGACGGCGCTACACCGCACACAAGTCGCATAGCAATCGATTTTCTGAAGAATTTGTTTCCGGGCCGTTTGATGTCGAAAAGTGGTGATTTGGACTGGCCACCGCGTTCGCCCGATTTGACTCCGCCTGACATCTTCTTGTGGGGATATTTGAAGTCCAAGGTTTACGTTAACAAGCCAAGGACCGTAAAAGAGCTCAAGGACAACATTCGTGAAGAAATAGCCGCTATTCCGGCCGAAATGTTGGCAAAAACGATGGAAAATGCAGCAAAAAGGGCACAATACGTCATCAACGACAGAGGCGACCATTTGAGAGATATCATATTCAAAAATTGATGTAAACAAATCTACTTGGAACAAATTAAATGATTAACATTGTCAACCGCCAAATTTTTATTTTTTCTTTGATTTAAAAAAAAACATGGGTCCGTCGAATATGGGCAACCCTGTACTATATTTAGTACAATTTGATTTTGGGTTAACCGATAAGGCTGGAATTGTGAAATTTGGAGTTGGGATGTAAGACTAAGGTTTGTAGGAAGTTTTGAAAATTTCTACTAATGTGTACTAAATTTGGTACGATTTGAATTTGGGTGATAGGGCTGGAATCTTGAAATTGTGAAATCCGATTTCTGTAAGATTGTATGATGGGAATAGTAATGGAACTTTGTACTGATGTACTGGTACTGGTGATGTACTTTGTACTGGTGTACTAAATGGTTCAATTTGGATTTGGATCGATGGAATGTAGAATTAAGGAATTTAGGTAGTTTTGGAAATTCGTATTTTTGTGTACTAAATGGTACTAAATTTTATACAATTTGGATTTAGGTGAACTTAAGAGTACTAAATTTGGTACAATTAAAATTATTGGGTGAACCAAGCTGAAGAAATGCCGAGGTTGTTCTGAAGTACTGCAATAGAAGTTAATTTTATGATGGTCTTCGCATCAAGATCAGCGAAATTGTATTGTGCTCGAACTTCCACTTCCAGAACATGGTACTAGGGAATTTGGCTGCCATGAGTGTGGCATTCCGTTATTTTAACCGGCAGTTTGTAGAGAACCCCAAGAAAGACGAGGCGATATGAACCATCTCAGCCAGGACTTACCACAACAATTTATGAAGGAAAGTGTTGCAGATGTCGCCATAAACGCAAAGCCATCAAAAGCGTTGGGCGCGGACAAAATTTCCATGGCAACTGGGTGAACCTGGCTTATATAGATATTTTAACGTTTTAGTCACATATTCCAACTGAAGAGGCTGTATCTTTTCATTTCGTGTTTTTGACAACTTTTCTGCGGAAAATGTATATTTTTACATTATCTACAGATTTAAAATTATAGTAGTATTTTTAACTCACATAATTTGACGTACCGGGCTTCTGATGAAATTATTTTTTTTCGATATTGTTAAATAACCCAGCAAATTTTTGAAGTTCCTATCACAACTATCTAACCTGAGTATCTTTAATTTCGTATTTCATGTTATCAAAGGATACCTGTCGATTTTAAATATGGTCCTATGTTTACCTAAAATCGGGAATCTTGTAAAATGATATTATATCAATCTTTTTTAATAACAAATTGCCTTGGGTTTTGTATTATGGTGCAGAGTATCTTAAAATAATAAAACATAAATTTCAAAAATTGATACCTTATTTTAATAAAGTGTATACAAACACCTAGAAATTTAATAATAATAGTAATGCCTTACAATTATTTATTTTTAATAAAACAAACAAATTTTAAATATATATATTTTGGAAGATAATATCAAGCATTTAAACGAATTGGAAAGCAATAATTTTAAAATATTTTAATTATAATTTAATTATATTTAATTTAATATAACAATTTTTGTAATTAATATAGAATATAGAATAGCAACGATACCATTATTAAATACCAAGCAAACGAAATAGTAGAGCAAAAAAGAGATAGCATTAATAAATAGATTTAAAAACAAATATAAAACATATTATAAGCAGTTTACACAGGCATTAAGCGAGATAACCATCAATCAAAAGTATTCAACACGTTTAAAACTCAATATTTTTATTTTCATTATTAAGCAGAACAAATCTCAACATCAAAAAGGAAATCTAAAAGCGATAAAGAAAATTTATTAAATGAAAAGTAAAAAAGCGAATGGGAAAGCAAACAAAAATAATTATTGGCATTCACAAATGAGCAAAGCAGAACGAACAATGAACGAGAAATTACGAAAACAGGGAATTTCGAAAATTTTTGGAAAACATTTGCTGGCTTACCTTGTGGGGAACTTTGACAGCCATGTCTTGCAGCAATTGGGGCGTTTAGGCGCCTGCATATGGACTTCACATTGTCTCAACTTTTCCAGTGCCAATGGATCACCCGGATGACGTACCAAAGGTTTCTAGGTTGATTGTGAGAGTTGTTGTTGTTGTGATTGAGATGAAATATTTGTTACCAATCATATTCCAATTAACATTAGTGAGCGTTTTTAAATTTTTTTTTTCGTTTTTTTTTTACAGATTTGTATTTAAAAAATTTTTGTTGTTATTGTTTTTTTGTTGTTGTTGATGATGATCATTGATTAGATGCACAATGTGTGGCATTTTTGGGGAATGTCATTTGGGGACACATGATGATATTGACATATACACAGAGCATGAAGATGTAGGCAAGAAAACAAGTAGGTTAAAAGATACAAAGAAGAGGTGATTATGTTTTAGTAAGAATTATTTTTTATTGTTAGCCAATGGTTTTTATTTTTTTTTTTTAAAAATAACCAAAAATTATAATAATGAAATTATTTTATTTGTTAAATTCTTTGATGAACACTTATGAGTAGATAGTGATAATGATTACACACAAGATAAACATGTTAAGATGAACGAACATTAATATTTTAGAAAGTATGTTTATTCAACCTGTCAATTATAATTGTGTATACCTTTTTGAGGGTATATTTAATTTTTCAGACGGTATAAAACTGCTTTAAATATATAGAGTATTCTAAACTCCAATAGGGATATATTTTTAATTATGTTAAAAATCTCCCCCATTGAAAGTGACGACCTATTTACAATTTGTGTAGAATCATAACATGTCTATAGAAAAAAATGTATTAAATGTTTTATGTAGCCGTTCTATTCTTGATATTGTATAGTTCCAATATAACTCCGTCATATTTTCAGCATATTGAAGGCAAAAACCTAATTTTACAACTAAAATGATTGTAATTTATCATTCTGGAATTTAGAGGCTGACAAACACCTATGAAGAATTTCCCCACTAGAGTAGCTGTCATTTGGCACTCTGGGGTTTTTTTAAAGGTCGTCTTTGCAAATTCCTCAGAGAACAAGAGTCGAATTCGATTTTAGACTTTTCAATACTAAAAATCGATTAATCGATGTTCTTTTTACTTCGAATTTCGACACTGTAATTTAGAATTCCGCGTTTTTAAAGGGTGAAAGATATTCCCTTAGAAAGTTTTGGATTTAGATTCATATTTTGGTAAAGTCTTCAAACGTGTGTTCCCTACAACATTTTTAAATTTTCAAAGTTTTAACCAAATTTTAGACCAAATTGATTGTCATTTGGCATTCCGGCTACTCGTAGGCAGATACACATGAAGGTTAATGTCGTGAGATTGCCCTATTACAAGAAGGAGCCGTTTCGTTACCGGTGGATTTGGAGGATTTTGCCGCCTTTTCCTACCGAACAAGCATTCAAGATTCCTAAAGAATAGAAAATGTCTTCGCAGAAAACAAATTAGGTGCTTTTTATAGCTCTCAGACAACGACTCCGCTTAATTTTCTGTATGTTAGTAGGGGTTTCTAGCCATGTTTTCAACCTGAGTTTCTTTAATTTGGTGTTTAATTTTCTCAGGGAAAAAAACAACGTCTAGCAGACGTTTTACAATCACAGCGCCTCTACATTAAGCTCCGACATTTATTTTTTATTCCCGCTAAGTAGATGGGTCACCTGTAACCTGCTCTAGGCAATAGGGCTGCCATCTATGGATTCCTTGAAACAACACATATTCAAATTTTGTGCAATGGTTTAAGTAATTGGTGCGTAAAAGACAGAACGTTTGTCCCATTGACAAAACATTTTACATGGACTACAGTCATGAGACATGAGTTGAGTTTTGTTGAAATTGGTTCAAACTTCAAGTAGGTGGTGCACGAAAGATCCTACTTTTTCGATGGACACATTTATTTATTTGTAACGGAACAGAGTAAAGGAGAGCATAAAGGAAAGACTGCAGCTAAACATGGCTAAAGCCATGTTTTCAACCTGAGTTTCTGTAATTTGGTGTTTAATTTTATAAGGAAATAAACAACTTTCTAGCAGACGATTTACAATCACAGCGCCTCTACATTAGGCTCCGAAATTTATTTTTTTATTCCCGCTAAGTAGATAGGTTAGCTGTAACCTGCCCTAGGCAATATGGCTAGCACATATTTAAATTTTGTGCAGTGGCTTGGGCCTAGCATTTAGTACTGCCATTCTTCTTGGGATGGCGCTAAATACTGCCATGCCAATTTTGTGTTATCGTCATATGTTGATGATGAGGTTGAGGGTAGCTCCCACATATATTTTGACCCGATTTTAAGTAATTGGCACATAAAAGACAGAACGTTTGTCTAATTGACAAAACATTTTACATAGACTATGAGACATGAGTTGAGTTTTGTTGAAATTGGTTCAAACTTCAAGTAGGTAATGCACCAAAGATCCCACTTTTTTCGATGGACACATTTAGTTCCATACTTTCTGTTAGGTGTAACGATAGGATCAAAAAGAACAGGGTAACGGAGAGCAAAAAGGAACAACTGCAGCTAAAGTACTAGATAAACGAAAGAATCAGACCTAGTACCGATTGTTCCTTTTCTGGACTAGTTCCTTTGAAATACTTCGTTACGGAACGAGAATTTTGATTTTTTTATTTAATTTGAGAATTTACACAGAATTTATGAAACCATTGAAAAGAGTGTGTATACGTTGCTTCTTCTCTTACTGTTTTTATTTATAGTAGACTAATACCAGAGCTTCTATTAGAAAGTTCATTGTTCTTCAATTTAATGAATAATTAAGGTTCTTCCACCTACAACAACCCAAACCAATAATGATATCTAACTATATATTTTCTACATTATTGTATGATATTCTAATCGAGAAAAATATTGCAAATTCTCACACAAATAAGATCACATGATTGACGCCCTTAAATATGAAAGAATCTTAATCACTGTATAAAATATCAAATATTATATCTTCATTCATGTCCCTGCGGCATATATACTCAAAGAGATTTACGGTATCATATCAGTCAACCCACTCCTCCTTTGGTCCTTACTAGTTTCTTATATAGAAGACTAAATTTCTGAACTTCTATTTGAAATTTGAATATTTTTTTTAATTTTCAATTGAGAAATATAGTAAAAATTCTCGCACAAATAAAAGCATATGATTGACGCCTAAAAGTATGCAATACTCATGATCACTTTATAAAATATCAAATACTATGTTTACATTTATGTCCCTTCAATGATTAATATGATTCAACTAAACTAAAAAAATGCAAAAACAGCCAACATATAAACATATGAATAAAATGAAAACAGAAATAAACGGTAACACAAATATTTATATGTACCATGGCAAATGTAGCATTGCTATCTGTATCCAAGAGATCTGAAGCAGCATCTATACTCGCCTGCTCCAAATCACGTCGCTTCTTTTTCATGTTCTCCTTGTGCATGTCTGCGGCCCGATCCGTATATGTTGCATGGGATGATAGAAAAATTTGCACAAGAATTTATTTGTTCGGCGAAAGGGTGACACAGACAATGTTTGGCAGATTCGTTTGGTTTCGAAAATTAACACAACATTGTTGCAAAATACACACACACACACAGATACAAGTGGTTCAAAATAGTAGTGGTAGTAGTAGTTGATGTTGTTGTTGTTTTTTGTTGAGGTTAGTAATAACATGGTTGCAATAAATGGTAGTAGAGTTGTTTAACAGTTGTAGATGATAGGTAGTGACGGATAAGTAAGTAAGAAATAAATGAAAGGAAATTAAAATGAAATTAAGGAAATCAAAAAAATGAAAGGAAATTTGTCACAATGATCGTTGCGTTATGTGATTGATGCGCCGCGTTACATTATGTATTTTTATATTTACACGCACACACACACAAATGGAGAGTTACATCCACATACACAGTTACAGAAAACATATATAGATTACAATGAAATAAATAAAATTTCAAATTTTTGGTTGTTTTAATTTTTGTTGTTGTTGATGATGATTAAGTAGATCAAAGATGATGATGATGATGGTCATGAAACGAAAAAAATGGAAACAAAAGACAAATAAAGCATAAATAATGGTGCCACAAAGTAAATAATTTGAAAATATAAACAAAAACGCATGTAGATAAATATATATGAGTATTGTTTAATTATAATAATAATTATTGTTGTTGTTGTTTTTTATTGGCAAATAATTGTTAGTTATTTGTCGGTTGCATTCAAAAGCATTTGTTGTTGTTGTTATTATTTGTTTATAATTGATATTGACACACAAATGAACATCAAACAATTATAATTAACAAAAAAAAATATATATTTTTTTTATATATGTATGTACATGTAAAAAAATTAATACAAATGCAATTCACATATATATTTGTTGTTGTTATTGCAAATAAGTCATAAAATGACACAATTAGAAGCCACAAAGAAAAACAAATGAAAATAAACATAAAAAACCACAAAGTTTTTAAATATGCAAAGCAATTTTGATGTGAGCAAATAATGATGGATATGTCAGTGATGTATGTAAAGTGTCAATTGTTGTTGTTTTTTTTATTTGTTATAATTAAAAAAATTAAATAATTATTTTATTGGTAGTACAGTGGTGTGCAAATGTGTTGTCCCATTTATTTTCAGCGTGATATTTTTTATTATTTTATTCAGGGTCCGAGTGTGTGGATTGTGGGTTTCATTCATTCATTGATAGATTGAAGTCGTTGGTTGTCATCGTCGTAAAGTTTTTTTGCATCGTTGAGATCGTCGATGATTAATATTGTATTTTTTTTTTTTTTTATTTTTATTGTTGTTCGTAGTTTATGTACAAAAACATCGATGTGGGTAGACACAACGTTGCAAGATAATAAGAAAGGAAATAAAAGAAACTGTGTTAGTTCATAAAATATTTGAAATTTCTAAAAAAATCTACATTCATGAAATTCAAACAAATGATGTATGAGCGTTTTAGTTTGGAGCGTTTGAATAGAAGTGTTTTTGTATTTATTTTTCAACGGATGGAAAATCAGAGTTTGATTTTATGAGTTCGGGGAAGATGGTCGATATTAAAAGGAATATAAAAATAATGATTGCTATTCTCGTAGTCGTTAACGGACGTGGTAGAGTTGAGCAATCTCGTTCTGGAAGCGGTTCGATTTTCTTCGGTTCACTTCTTATAACGAACTAGGTGATTCAATTCAGTTCCAATTGTTTATGTTAGTTCAATCGTTCATTCAGAATTTTCAGCCAATGAACGAAAAGATTTTGATAAACGATTGAGTGAGATGGAACTAGGTGAAGGAGAGCAAAAATTAACAACTCTAGCAAAAGGAACTAGATAAACGAAAGTACTAGACCTAGTACAGATCATTCCTTTTGAGTAATATTTTCCTTGAAAGTTCCCTGACAGCTTCTGAGAAGTTCAAGTAAATATTCTTTGAAAACGGGAATTGTTAGTAATGCATGACTGCAACTTGTATCATTGAACAGTTGAAGATGTACCGCTTTCTTACATCCACAAAATTGTTGATAATAATAAGAAGAATTGAAGTCTTTCATACATGTTGTCTGTAATGAAATTCTATATAATTGAGCTTATGTAGAATCAGGATATATTCGCTAAATGAAAAATTGAAGTAGTATCCTCTTCATGGCAATGAAAATATTAATATTAAATAGGTCCACTACGGTACGGTATGAGACGTTCTAGTCTCACCAAAAAAGCTTTATGTTACTAATCTGAACATTACAACATTTTTAACAAGCGACTAAAACCAGTAGCCATATTTGAGGATAGTTAGATGTTTCAACCTTTAAAAACTATTTTTATGAGGTTTAGACACATCGAGCTAGAATAAACTAAGGAATCACTACTTTATGTGAGAAATATTGTTAGAACTCTAAAAATTATGTAAATAACAATCATCAATAAGGGGTTATATAAATAAACAGCAAGACAATGGTTTCTTGATAACGTAGAGAACTAAAGAACCATGTGCTGATTTTGAAGGCTAACAAAGTCTCTTGATATACTACACGAACGAAATTGTAAAAAATCATCTGAGCATCTATTATTGACATATTGACAACAACAGGATATCCTATTATTAACATTTAGTAATATGGAAACAACACCTTTCGAAATCTTAGTGATGAGATATATAAAACTATGCATATCGATGATACAGACAGAATGGAACACATATTGTTACACATATATCAAGTGTACCGATGATATAAAACCATTCGACATGCTGTAAAAAGAGTGCTGGAGAATTCGTGATACGTTCATAACATGAACTGACAGTTGACAATTTTCAAGGCAGTGTCAACCATTAACTACAATATTTAAAATGTCAGAGACACAACTTAAAATGTCAGGGACCAATTTCAGATACTGCATTAAAAGAGGGAACATTCTTTTTGCGTCCACTTACATTTCACTTGTCCGTGTGGAAGTGTGGGCAATTGCCGTTCTTTCATCTTTTAGATAATTGTATGAACGAAATTTTGTTAACCACGATTGTTGTCTTTGCCTCGATTTATGTTTGACTGAACATCGAAGAAGCTTTTATTTCGTAGTATTATATTTTAGAAAGAAATTCTAAATTTCCTACGAGACGGACGGAATATAGGCCTTCGGCATAATGGTTATTACACACACGATTTTAGTCAACAGTCTTGCCATATTATTTAAAAGTTTCTCGTAGACATAAACATCCATAAGAGTATTTCCAACGCTCGTATCGGGAGGTCAAGACGTTTCCCAAATTATTGCGTGAGAAGTGTGTCTACGATGTCTTTCGGGTTAGTGGAGAAGTGCCACATTCTAGGATCAGTATTGTACAATCTGTGCACGAGGGCGAACATTTTTTGTCTATGTGTTTAGTTTTACTATTACCCCACTAATAAACGGAAATGTCGCGCTGATCGCTTTGAAATTTTACATGAAGTTCTGGTTATGGTGGAGGATGACGTCTAAAATTTTCTGTGATGTTGAGATGATATTTAAGGGGTGCAATAAATCGAAAACTTTATTTTTGTCAGATTTTCTAGTCGTTCTAGAGGTCATTACTATATATGCAGAACATGACATATTTTACACATTGAAGGGGATTTGACAAAATACTTAGAACGGCAAATCAATCTGAGGATCATATCAACCAAAACCAAAAGTGACCAAATTTTTATTTTATGGCGTAAATCTTCTCCTCGAGAAAACAATATTTAGAAAATATGCCAGGGTTAGAAAGGGGAGCTGCTGACCTACAATCGATCAAGAGAGTGCAAATATCTCAGTACATAGAACCGCAGAAAGTTAGATTTTTGATTGATATTTTTTTCGTAATGAAATAATGGAATTTTAGACAGAAAGATGTATACTTGTAGGCATAATTTTTCAAAATATTTATATTTCTATCGGCAATTAACTAATGTAAATTAGATAATTAAGGCAATAACCCGTATCAAGAGACTACCTTGACTCTTGTTCACAACTCCAAATAGGTCTTCTCTTACGGTACGGTTCTCTTACAGCACTAGGGAATATTATAATTAAATGAAAAATTAACAATTAAATAACAAATCCCGAGGTCAACGATTAAAGCTGCTAAAATTATTAAAAGACCCGCTTACATATACATTTTCAAGGCTTGTCCCTTCCCACCATTAATTAACCTCGTTATTTAGTTAACCAATTGAGTCAAACGATTAAAGCTGCTAAAATTATGCTTATCTACCCAAGTAGCTATAACTTCGACTGACACATTGTTTGTCCCTCCCTTCTTTAATTAACCTAGGAAATTTATAATCAATTGATAGACTTCTAGCCGTATCTTCCAGGAGCCATATTCGACTAAATTCTCTACTTCTTTTCAGGAAATCATATTCAGTACACTTGTAAACTCTACACTTGGTACTTTCTAGCGAAGAAATTATCCTCCTATTGCAATCGTAACCATTCTTTCAATCCGAACGTCAATTGTTAGCAAAAAGAAGCAAGAAGAAGCAAAAAATCAACTATTTTAATCTGAAACTTTTGACTTTGAATTGTTTATTTTCCCGTTAGCATAGAGCCTATTTAAATTTTATCGATGTTATACAAATCGGGCGCCACGAGGTTACTTCCATTTAGAGAGTTCAAGTCATATAATCAGGCTAAAACGCCCTTACTCGGTGTGTTCTATCAAACGACGTAAGTATCTAACAAATGTAAATAATTCAGATAGTTTAATAATTTTGAAATATATTCATTGACTGTGCATTGTCTCTTCTCTTATTGACAGTATCCGTTTACATTATTTTCGATAATGTTCGCAAATTTCAAACTCTGATTTTCCATCCACAGAGAAAGAAGAATTTTCAATTTCTTCTTTTACTCCTCTTCTTAATATTTCGTTTTATTTTCTCTGATTATATTTGGTGCTTTGGGAGGTTGATGTTGATTGTTCGAATGGTATTCTGAATGAAATTGAATTGACGACATGTGTCTGTGTCGATTTGGAATTTCAGTTTCTGTTTTTTTTTCGGGGATTTCAGTTTATCTCATCATGGAATTTGGTCGAAAAACAATGTCAATGCTACTCGAATGACATGGATTTTCATATTAATCGAATTTCAAATATAATTTGTCATCATCTGTCATTTGTTGTTTTTGCCGATTTTCCCCTGGTGTTGTCAAAACTAAATTGCATTTTATTACATTGTTGTAACGTAACGTCCTTCCCACCCGGGGTCGTTAACTTCTTGGTCATGTTTTAGCTCCATTGGTGCGGTTACAAAGTCGGTTAGTCGGTCATGAAGTGTGAGATAGAAATGATATACAAATGTATGTATGTACGTATGTATGTGACAAGTGTGTGAAATAATGAAAATAATGATGTTTTTTTTGGGGGATAGGATGGATGTTCGGTGGTGGTGGTGGTGGGTGGTTAGTTGATTGTGTGTTATATTAAATTACAAACAAATTTGTAAAAATATATATTTAGTTTTTGTATGTTTATACACAAAATAATGTATAATATACACATGTATAATATGTATGTATCGAACAAATATTATTTTTTTTATATGTGTTTGTGGTGGTAAGTAGTTGTACGTACATAAGAAAAAAAATAATAATAGAAAACACCATTAATTAATTAAATACAGTTAATAAGAAGCATATAAAATCTCAATTACTAGCTTTATTCGAACCTGAGCGGGACGCATAGTTCACCAGGGCAAACTCGAGCAGGGCGCCGAATACAAACGTTAGACACACACCAGTCCAGACGTCAATGGCTTTGGTGTAGGAGACCGGTGGCAGTGATGCATTGATACCGGATGTCTGCGTTGCCATGGTGAGCAGTGTGGTGACACCTAGAAAATGACAGTGGAACAATGTGAGAACCAGCGGTTTTTGTGGTTTTTTGCTTGATGGGTTAACAATGTTGTGAATTTCAAGTGTACAAAATTCCTAGAAGATCAAAGTGGCTACATGTTGGTGTTCGAGTTCGTGTGTGTTTGTGTGTGCATGAGACAAAGGTCGCAGTGAAGTATTCAAAAAAGAAATCATCTACGAATTTGGTACTCAATTCTCTCGAAGAGTTTTTCGTTCATGTCTAATTGGGAATCGAGTTCTAATCCGAAAAAAGGAGGGATCTACATTTTCCGTATTCCGACGGACGTTGTAACTTACCTTTTTGTACATTTGCCTACCATGGTGCATATTCTAATATTAGCAAACAAAAATATAGCAAACAATTGCTCTCTCCAATTCTCAATTCTCATTGCAAATCAAAAGAAACAGAAAACTTTTTTGTGAGATGTCAAACATCTCCACTGAAGACGAGCTTCGTACCTCAAATTTTGAGACCGAAGCCAACATCGTTTGGTCTCCGCCATAGCTACACCATGCCTCTGCAGATAGCAACCAACACAAGAATTGCCCATCTCGCCGGGTGAACATAAATTGAGACAAAGAAAAATGAATAAAAAAAAAACAAGTCGGGGAGAAATCCAAGAAGCGGATCTCCTGTGCATAATACATGTACTGAAGTAAAGCGGGGATTATTTGAGGGGGTGGAAAATAAAATTTTAAGAAAATCACCACAATGCAATGAATCTCTTTTTTTTTGTTTGTTTTTGCAAAAAATCAAAAGACCTTTCAATGGATGAACTTACCTTAGGTTAGGAGGGAGAGTGCTATGGCCCGGTACCGTTTTGCAAATGGAGACTGTTCTCCAATAAAGGATCTCGGGTACCTTGAATTTTTGAATATATCTCGAAATGGGTCTTCAGTTATGGTACATGTAATAAATATACCAACAGGTTGGATGTAGGATAAATACTATGAGGTATTACTTGGGAACCTGTAAAGAATTAAATAACAAACAATGGACAAAGAAAGGCAACTACATCTAAGAAGCCAAAGGTTCATGGAACCAATCGAGTATTTTGTTGTATCTTCTGTTTTCAATTGTTCTCCAGAAGTAGGTGTAGCTAGGCTAAAATATATTGATATTTATAATCCTATGTTATCTTAACACATCCTTATAAGCACATACGTATCTTTTTCTTTGCGCTGTTTTTTACTCATGTTTTTAAGTTATTGGCAACTGAATATTTGTTTTTTTTTAAATAATTGTAAATGTTTAGAAATAATAAATATATGTTAGGTTTATATCATACACAAACAAGTGGTGTGTTTTGGTCATAAGTTTGTTTTAAAACGTCCGTTCAAATAACCCTTCTGAATTGTAATCACACTACAGGCCATAATTTCTTGCAGAACACTTTATTCTTCCGAATCGATTCCTTGTGTGTCCATCTTGAAACTGATTTACATTCTAATATTTTTACAAAAACTACCCTCATAAGATCCTCAAAGACATGAAAGAAATATTGCTATGTATCAATCTCTATGTTATTTCCCGTGTGCCGATCTTCGAATGTGGTCGGCTGTTGAACAAAACACATCTTAGCAAAGCTAGCTCCTTCATTTAATACACCAGATGTCGTGATTAAAACTAAGAGACGGAAATGTCTATATCGATTTAGAATTACTTATATCCTCCATCATGAGAAGATTGGTCATTCCATTAAAATTAGTCAAGCTCTGCTAATATTTACGATTGATCTTTGAATTCTTCTTCTTTTACTGCTTATGGGATGTTTGGAATAGATGGACCCACCGCGCAGTTTCTGTAATTTTGCAAACCTTGTTGTTAAAGGGCGATGAACATCTTGGCAGAACATTTTCAATATAGGTCCATGTTTTGAAATAACCCATTCTTTGCATTGTTTCTTCGACACATGTATATTTTTCCAAGATCGAAATATTGGATCATTAGGTTTTGAATTCTCAATTGTTATTGAAACTTATTGAGAAAAAACAATGAACATTTTGTCAAATTATATTGAATTAACTTTTTCAGTTTCTAATTTATCAATTAGTGGTAAGTTTGGGCGGTATGAACGTAGCGCCTTTATATAACCTCACCTATGTGTTAAAATGGATTTTGAACCCCAAATATGTTGGGAGCAAAAACCCTTCCATGAATTTAAAACCTATTTTCCAATACCCATATCCTGTTTGACTAGGAATCCCAGAATCAATTTCTAACCCATGGGGTTAATCCTAGTCATTTCAGAACATTTTCAGTGCATATTAATATTTTGGTATATAGCCCGTATTTGGTCCCCAGACTGGCATTAATAATTTTAAAGGTCACTTAATGGAGGTCGTATATTTCCATAATATTCAAAGCATATGCATTCATAGTTATTTTAATTGATTTCAGTTTTTTTTCTAATTTTTATTATTTTGAAACGACTTGCAAATGGACGTGTTTTACATTGAAGACGAAGATTTTAAGGATAAGAAAATTAATTAAATTTATTTTGTTGTTGTTGATATCTAATTGTTTTTTGTAACTAAAAGAATCAAACAGCCTGGCTCTAGTAGGAACTAGGATTGTTGAAATCGTACAAAAATTAAAGAAATGGCGACGATTTGAAATTTGTTTGACTAAAATATAAATTGTTTCGACTAAAATATAACCCCAAAATGAAAACAATTTTTAAAGTTATTAAACTCAAAGGCAATATGTAATTTATAAATGATAAATATTATGTTGGGGGAAAAGAAATCCGTTATTTTTATATAAACATGCTTGTATGATTTTTTGCCAATTCTCCTGTTGTCCAATTCTAGCACATACGTTGATAGAATTTTTAGCGTTTGGCCATATGGAAGTAACTCATAATAAATAACCCTCTTCCAGTTCCACCAAATGCATAGCAGAAGCTTCCTGGCCGTTAGTCCTGGTTTTGCCATCGTTTGAGGTGATTCAACGCTCTTTGACCACGACCGTTTTCGCACAGGGTTATCGTTTGTGATCCAAATATGAACTTTTCTTTGAACCCCAAAAACAACAACAAAACAACAACAAATTTTGGTAAATTATTTTTCTTCCTTTTTAAATCTTCAAATATATATGTGCCAAGTTACAAACCTTAACAAGCATTGGTATTCATTTACCAGCCCATTTAAAATCTTAAAAATAAAAAATCGACAATGGTATAGATCCACCTTTATGGTGAATTTAGCGTAAGGATTTAGGCTTACAACCTTACAAGATAAATAGTACAATTAATTTAAAGCTGTTGCCAACAGAGATCTTCTGAGATCTTCCAATTTCATTGAATGATCTCAGAGTCAATATTAAATACGGAATAACCACAGTTTCAGCTGAAGTGACTGTGAGACATCGAAACTTGGTTCCAACGTAAGAAGAAAGTGAAAAACGTTATTTTAGTTAATCAAAGCATGCTGAATTCGCATAGTTCATTTAATGGATAATTATTTATTTATCGAAATTAGAAATTGTTTTCGATTCCCCTTTTATAAATTTTACAACGTTTTGGGTACGGAAACATACCATAAATATTTAGAAATAATCAATTATCAGGATGCACATTTTTCAATTTTTTTTTTTTTTTTTAATAAAATCATTTTTATGCCCCTAAAGTATTATTTTTTTTTTTAAATTGATAATATATTTTTATGTTAATGTCGTATAGTTTCAAGATATTCTTGAATGTTTTTGACATTTAGAATGTTCAATGAATATTATAATATAAAATTCACAAACATACAAACATCAAACTACATGCATAAGCCACTTTGTTCATCTTCTAGAAATGTTCAGCTGAAAAGAATAGAAATTAAATAAATGTTTACAATTCCACTTCTTCATCTTCCTTTTCAACGTATAATATATAAAATAGCTGAGAACAACTAAGTAATCATTAATTGTCGTTGTGATTGAACACTGTTTACACGTTGACTTTATAACTTACTTACGCTTCTGCATCTCTACAAATGATTAACTTTTGTTCTCAATAAATTTTAAACAACTCGAAGAAACCGAAGAATGATTTCGTTGGAAATGTGTTAATAGAATTATGAAATTAGAAATTTCGAGAGATATGTTTGATTGTTCTTTTGTTGAGTTTGAAGTTTAAATGTGTGGGTTTTGGTGTTTTGAGTTTTGGTATATCGAACAGTGCTCGGTGGGTTTTTTTCTGCCGAGCACTGATTGTCGCAAAAACTTGTTTGTTACAACTTACCCAAGGAAACACGAGCTGGTACAGCACCTTGATCTAGCCAGAATGACACCCATGAGACAATTACCAGCATACAGCATGGGATATAAATTTGAATTAAGTAATATGAGAATTCTCGCTTGAATAGTAGATCGACTTTGAGGCAACTGTATTCACCTATGAAGTATACAAGGTACGAAAGGAAACATACGGAAACAAATGATAAAAACGTAAAATACTCGGGGTACGAGGGTGGTGTATTGTTTGATTGGTTGGTTGGTTGGCAGTCAGTAAGATTTGTATAACATAAAATAACTAATTTTAACTGAAAAATAAAATAAGACTAAAATTAACTAAGAGGAAATGAAAGAAAAGCAAATATAATTGAACTCAACAAAAAAGGCGAAAATAATTAAAAAGATTTTTTTTTGTTAAAAATATTTTCAAATGAAAAAAAAAAAAAATACAAAACAACTTAGATAAATATTTTTATACATCTTGGTTTTTTTCTTTCTTTTGGTTTTTGTTTTTCGTTTCATTCATAGGCAAGTAGAATCAACACATCCATGGCAAAATTATGTGTTTGTGACAACAAAAATTTAACGGAAATGAAAGAATTCTGAAATGGAAATTAAATTCCGTTCATTTCCGTTAACTTGTTGCCAGGGCGTTCCATACTCTTCAAGACAAAGTTGTTGTTGTTGTTTTTTTTATTAAATTTATTTAATTGTTGTTGCTGCTGTTAAGATGTAAATATATACATTTGATTTTTATTTCATTTCCTTTGTTTCGTATTCGTATATTCTCATATTTTTTTCGATTTCATTTTTCGAGTCGTTGATTTACTTAAAAAAAAAAAATTAGCAACATTCGATATTTTTATTATTGTTGTTGAATTTATTATCTCATCAATGCATCTGGCAAATCCTTCCAAATTCCAACCTTCAAAAAAACAATTCCAATTGCAATCGATTGCTGTTACTGTTGTTGTTATTGTTGTTGTTGTTGTTGTTTGGAGTTATTTGTTGTAGTTGCATTGTGATTCGGATGTTTTCTGTCGTAGTTTCCCTTTGCTGGGAGTTTTGTTTATTTGTTTGTTGGGTGTTTCTGTTGTTGTTGTTGTTTCTATGAATTGTTTTGTTGTGTTCGTAAATGAAATAAATGAATGAACTTATTAAAAAGGAAATTTGATTCTCCATTATGTTGTATCCTTAGAGAGAACATATACATATTTGAGAAAATTTTATTATACAAAAAAAAGGATCACAAAAAACTTTATATAAAACACCATAGCTGAGGGTGATCTATCAAAAAATGTTGTAAGAAATCAAAAAAACTAAACTATTAAAAAATCAAATTCATTTCAATTAACTAAACTAGTGGAAAAATCACTTTGATAGTTGAAATAAATTACATGCATTTAAATAAAAAGTTGTTATTACTTTTGCAGAGTAGTTACAATATTGAATTATGTATTAACTACCATAAATACTACATAATATATAATTTTAAAAGGGCACCACCCAAATTAGGCAATTTATGGAATGTATACGCCAGATTCTAATGTATAAGACAGATACCTAGTCAGAAGACCTCCTTCAAAAAATATGCACAGTTTTTAGAACCCGCATTATCCAACCACAATATCAGTAATTTACTTTTCAGATTCTAAATGGACAGAAAATATTCCCATTAAAATAATAACCATTATGTTCAGAATTTCGGCAGATACATATATCCGATTTTTATTTTTTTCTGTTGGTAATAGAATCCACATTGGATTGGCAATTTGTTTTTTACAGATAAAAATGTTAGTTGTGTTCGATTTTTTGCTATTCAAAAAAATTTACAAAAGAAACAGTATTAAAAATGTATTAAAAAATAAAATTAAATGATCGAAGAAATTTGGAATATAAGACTTGGCGTTTGGCGAGCACCACGTTACGTTATTGAATGTGGAATATCTATTTTTACGGTTGTGAGCCAAACTGACTCATAGAATGGTTTAAAGTTATGCGGCTAACTTTTAAACTATTTATACCCTACACAACTATGTTGTCAGGGTATTATGGCTTTGTGCAGCCCCAAAAGTTTATAACGCCGCGAAATATTGGACCTACACCCACCTTTAAGTATATCGATCGTTATATCTCGACTAGCTGAGTCGATCTAGACATGTGTGTCCGTCCGTCTGTCCATTATCTTTTGTAAACACAGGCCACAGTTATGGACCAATCTTCACGAAATTTTGCATGTAGGATGGGTTCTGGCCAATGAAGACCCCTATTGTTTTTGGTAAAGATCGGTTAATATTTAGGGGATGAAATGGACCAAAAACTTTATTTTTGTCGGTTTTTCTGGGCGCTCCAGAGGCCGCAATTATAGCCCAAACACCGCGATTTTTTGCATGGAGAAGGGGATCGGGCCAGAGAATAAGCATGCGTGTTTTGATAAAGATCGGTCAATATTAAGCGGGTCAAATGGACCCTGACTTTTGTGTGAAAAATGACAAAAATTGTATTCTATAGCGTATATATTTACCCCTGAAGAACAAAGACCCATGAAGTTGATAGTATATCCAAGAGGAGTGGTTGACCTTTAAATTGATACCATTTATATGGTCGTATGTACTCAGATGTGGGAGTTACACTTAAATATTTACAGGTGCTTACGTACTAAGATATTATTTAGTAACCCATTACCACACTAGAAGGCGGAAATATAGCTCTGATCACTTTGAAATTTTTGAGATGAAATGGACCGAAAATTTATTGTACCCTACACAACTATTATAGCTTTGTGCAGCCCCAAGAGTTTGTAACGCCGCGAAATATTGATCCTAGACCTACATTTAAGTTTTATGATGATTTCAGATAACCAATGGTACATAGGTACGTTCCAAAACATATTTCACCACCACAAAAATAGAACCACGAAGCAAATGTGGGAGTTTCATTATACGAAATATTCGGCCCCGTCCGACTATACTACTTTCCTTACTGGTTTTGAAATGTATTGGCCCTATCAGACCTATCAGGCAACATTCAACTGGCACATGGGCTATCCTAATATTTGTGCTGAAGTTACCAAAACGAGCGGACACGTGGGAATTATTCCACGTGCGAACATATAGTTTTAGTAAATATATTAGTTGTGTAAAAATATGCCATAAATACAAAATAATCCGATAACAGGTTCAAAAAAATGTTAACACTTTGTGAGAGGATGAGGGATTTGATATTTTTTAGGTTTGGATGAAAAAATCACAAGTGCAAGTTTTGATTAAAACGTTAGCCCATGTTGACACGCTTGTCACGCTGAGGGCAAAGAGTTAAATTTATATATAAACAAGTAAAAAAGTGTCAGTCGGTATTGCTGACTGACATATCTTCGGAATTACAGGTTTTATTGTTCGCTTTATATAAGGCATGTGTTTTTATCAAAAAGGTTTTAGATAAAATGTTGAACAAATCGGTTATTCAATTCGCTAAACTAAATTTACAAGTCTTTAGATGTAGAAGAAGTAGCGGACCAATGGATACCATCTTCGGGCTTTATCTGGGCTTGGTAAAGACAATAGATGGTGCAAAGTTTGGTTCAAATTGGACGTTCCTTTCGCCTAATATTGAATTTATAAATATGGGAGAGGTACCCGATGAAGTGGATCAATAGGTCCTCTCTTCATACTTGATCTAGGTTTGGTAGAGATCGGTTCGCATGATATTATAATTTTTTTTTTTTTTGCACAATTTCTACTATTTTGTGCGGAGTTTACTGATATTCCCCATCTTCGAACTTGAATCAACAACTCGTAAATCTAGTTCTAAGAACTCCGAGTAAATAACCCAAACAAACACGTCGAATTCGGTCAAATGAAAGGGAATGATAAATATTAAATCATTCCTGGTAACACACTTTGGCATAGCCCCCACATAAGAGACCCACTCCTTCCTCCCAGTGGTACGGGGTTCATATCTTTGTGTATATGTTTGTAACATATAAAAGATTATATACATATAATCAATCTCGAAGTCCGGATTTAGATACTACTACCATTTTAATAAAAAAAATTTTGAACATTTTAATAAACATTCAGTTTATAAACATAATAACAACTTTTAATTTAAATTCAAAATCATTCTATATATCAAAATCAAAAATACGACTTTTCTAGATTTAAGAGCCGTACAAAAAAATTAACATCATGCAAAACTAATTTCTAATCAGTTTTAAAAGATTTATATTAAGTTAGACAAAAAATGAGTTCATTCGAAAGTTTGCGTGAAGTGTTTGTAAAATAATCAAATTTGCCAAGATTTTAAGAATTATAAAATAATATATATTTGATAAAATCAGTTTCCTAGAGAAGCAGATTTGTATACACCCTTCACCACACTGTGGTACAGGGTATTATTTCTTTGTGCATATGTTTGTAACAGCCAAAAAGAATCGTGATAGACCCATGGTTCCTTTTGAGAATATGCATCCATGTATTTTTTGTGAACAAAGTACAATTCGCATTTATGATGGGAGAAAATCGGTTCAGGTTTAGATATAGCTCCATATATAGTTCGTCCGATATTATGAAAAAGGAGCACCAAGAGTCAAACCATTTCTCGAAACAAATAAAAAACACCCATTATTTAAAACATGGATCGAAAACAGTGTTTCAGTTAAGTGAATCATATATAAACGATTTAATTATTGTGGGCCGTACACCCAAATCTGAGTTCACGTTATGAGTTATATATGGATGTATAACTCAAATCTTATATATATATATACTACTTTATCCCCGGAAGACCTTAAAGTTGTCATAGGTTTTTAAAGCGAATTAAAATATTCTATTCGGAATTGTATATACATATCTCGGCAAATTTGAAACTTTACAGCGTATGACAGTGTTAGCGTGTGGCAAATTTGGAAATGTGTAAAGTTTTGTGTAATAGGTGTCACTTGTGATGATGGTGTGTGTATAAATTGAAATTGTAACAAACAACTTTTTCTTTTATGGGCACTGGTTATAGACAATAGAGGAGCTGCTGATGATAAAAAATTATGTTTTTTCTTCTTTTCTCTTTTACTCATTAACTCTCAATGTGGAATTACAGTAACAAAATAAACAAGCACAAAAATTTGGAAATTATATTAGAATATATATATATAGAGAGAAAGAGAAAAACTCAATTGAACTAATTTCTGAAGGTATGAATTCAAAAGGAATGAACTAACATTGAACAAAGTTTATAGAAAATATATTTGTTTGTAAATATTAACTTTTAAATTGAAATATTCCAAAAAAGAAATGCGATTATGGAGCCAGAAAACATTACTCCAAAAATCAAAAAAAAAAATAAATAAATAAATTTATAACAAAAACAATATAAATTATTTGCAAATAATTTTTAATGAATAAAAATAATTTATTTAATTAAAAAAATATAAATTATGAACTGAATGTTGTTTTTGTTTTTTTTTTCTTCTTTTTAGGTTATGTTTACGTTTCAAACAAATCCAACTGATGTTTTGTTTTTAAGTTTTTTTTTTTTTTTGTAAATTCTTTAAGCAAATACATGTGAAAGAATTACAATAGAACATTGAAGACACAAAAAAGAAACGAAGAAATGTCAACGTACCCGTGTTGGTTTTACTGTTGCAATAATCAGTCAAGAATTTTTCGAGTGTAAAGCGAGGTAGGTGTAAGTTCTTTACCACTTGCACGGGATCGCCTTCTTTCCACAGGAAGACAAGATCGTTAGTTGTCCAGCCATCTATTCGCAGGAAATAAATGACGAAAAGAGAAAGAGAGAAAATAAATGATTATTAATAAAACAAATTGTGATGGGTGGCGGGTTGCAACATTTATTGTTTTGTTTTTTTTTTTCAGAATTGTGTGGTTGTGAAAATGTGAGTTTCTCCAAACGACAACGACAATCGTAGTGTGGAAAAGCCTTCAAGATTCGAAAGAAAGACAGAAACAAGAAAACAGAACAGAAACGGAAAAAATGTGATAGAGACTTGAGCAACTTATACTTACAACTGGCCATACGTAGTGAACAAATTTGTCGATCCAAGGGATATAATTTCAAATTCATAGGGCAAGCCAATGTTAATGAGATACGAATACTATATAAAACAGAACCGTTTGGAAATATACGGATATAAACATTAGGCATAATGATATTATGGAAATGACCCTCTTTTTCATTTGAAAAGAACAGATCAGGCATCCAGACACGATTTGCCTCTGTTAGGGTCAAATATTTTAAACGACCTATAAAATTGTATAAAGTTTATGGATTAATATATTTCATTAAATAATTGTTATGAATTCTTACACATACATACACACACACTTATATATAGAGACATTACACAATTACAAATGAAATGAAATAATATAAGATATGTTTTGAATATATATATTTTATTCGCAAATCTACGAAAAACGATAAACCAAAAAGGATACAAACAAATTCGTCATGAAATACTAATAACTAAGAATTTCAAACTACAAAAAAATACATTTTCTATGGAAAATGATTATTTCTGGAAACAAAAAAAAATGTCAATACAACTTAAAAATAAATGAAAATTAGGTTGATTTTTTTATTTGCGATTTTTTTTTCACTTAGAGTATAAGATTAGTTTACACAATGCGTTTGAATCAGATGATTTCATTTAATTGATGTAAACAAAACGCAAACATAGCTGATTTGTATAATATATAGATAACCTTTACAATACAATAAAGGCTAGTTTACACGATGCCAGTCGTACGATCTGTATTCACAATACACACTGGGTCAAAAAATAAGACCTTGGGACGCTGTACACACTCTGCAATGCGGTTGGTCAGTCAGTGCTGCTGGCCAGTAGTGTAGTGCAATTAGTCTCGAAAGGCTCGATTAGTCGAAATATATCGTTGTAGAATATATATATTGAGGGGTTGTACATAATGCGTACTGTACAAACAACATTGTTTGTATTTGATATGTTTTTACTAATCGAGTCTTAAGACTTGTAGTATTATCTCTCTTTGCTCTCATTAAGTCGTAAAGTTAATTATTAATAATTATATATGTACATATTTTGACGCATTGCTAGATTTTTGTATTCTGGCCAAAAAAAATATCCACGCACGCTCGATCCTATACTTGAAGTTATGTAAACTAAATTAAATGTTTGTAGAATACATATATGGGAAACCAAAGGCGCGTTTAGACAATGCCTTCTAAATCGACTCGATGTGTTAATCGATGTAGCAAATCTTTGCTGTTTAGACTAGTATTAAAATGGTATAATGTTGATAAGTCAGCTGTTATTTGTTTACGTATACGTACACATTTAATTGTGTGGCAATTTTTCAATTAATATTTTCATAATTTTGCTACCCATTAGGTCAAAAATTCATAAACACATTTGTTGTTGTAAATTATAGTAATATTCAATGTAAATTAAAAAAAAAATCTGAATTTCTCATTAGCTGTCATATGTTTGGTAGGGAACTATTTTAAGTTGTAACGTATTTTGTAGCATACTTTTAGGAGAACACATTATTTTTTGATGCAAAAGCAGGGTTGTATTTGAAATTATTTCGATAAACCAAATCGAGATATTGAGTTTATTTAAAGGAAATCCTGGAATTTGTCAGCAATTATAATATTTGTTTATGTATACATACATATTTCACTGCTTTCATAATTTGGGTAGCAAATTTTTAATCAATATTGTTAGGAATTGCTCTCCATTAGGTCAGACATGCAAAAACAATTGTCTTTTATTTATAAATTTATTTTTATAAATGAAAAAAATATTTTTAGAAAGTATACTTTAAGGAAAAATGATTTTTTTGGGACAAAAGCAGGGTTGTATTTGAAATTATCTCGATTTAGTATTGGAGATATTAGTGTATATAATTTTGTATGGTAAATCGATGTAAATCGATAGCAATTGGCTGTAATCTAAACGCGCCTCAAATGTGTTGCTCAGGGTGTTACTTTCCATTGGAATGTTGGCGTTGTTTACAGCAACTTGAAATTTGGCGAAAAAAATTAATTTTTGTGCTACCATTTTCACAGCTTCTGTTGGTCCATAAATCTGCAGATTGGGAGATCTGTAAGACCAACTGTGGGCTAGTTCATTGGCATTCACAAGATCTACTGCGAAAAGGCTTGCAGTAGATGCTCTAAAGAGCCTGGGTCCAGTTTTTAAAATTACCTCATAGATGTCAGTAAGGAAAAAATACATCAAACTCGCTGTAGGGATGATAGCCGATCACAGCAGGATTGGGACATCAAAGGAGTGGACAACTGACGGTTATGGAGGCTACGTAGCAAAATATACCGACTTTTTGGTAGATATGAGATTGCAACTCTAACTTCCTGCTCTTGCCAAAACTATCAATCTAACTGCTTTCTCTATTCCCCTACTTCTTCCTCGATTCTGTCTACTCTTTCTCAATATGAACACAATAGAACAAGGATCTCCGAGTGTAAGCAGCTCTTAAATGATTGGTGGCTTAACACACTGTAACCTAACCTAAGTGACAATGCAATGTGGCATATCGTGGGTTGTCTTGGGAATTTCCTCCAATAGCAGACTTTTTATATTACATGGTCCGTATAGGGCTTGTCCCCGTTAGATACCTCACAATTTAACAATCGTCGAAAACCAGGATTGTGTCGATTGGCGCAAATATATTTTGTAAAAATTCGATCGAATACCCAAACTATAGTTTGTTTGGGTATTCAAGCGTGTGGGTCTTCGAAGGCCAACCAAATCTAACAAAGGTTGTTCGTGGACGATACACTTCGAAGCAACTGAGAAAATCAATCATTGCGCACCATGACAATGCGAGGTCTTATACATTGGTTCATTACATCACCTTTTTGACAGGCCAAAACGTGGAATTGATGGGTCATCCGCTCAATGACTTTTAATTCTCGCATATCGAGAAATATATCAATAAAATATATATCAATTATTATCAGTTTGTTACACCTTGAAATATTCACCAGAGACCCTATATTGCATATATATGTTCGTCTATATAAAAATCACTACAGAGTTCGCAATATTTGAGACAGAGTATTAAAATTTTACTCATATATTGTTGTTATTTCAAGAATGTTTGGTAATACAAATGGGATTTATGGGTCAACGTTTTTGTATAGCCCCCATGTGACGCTAATTCTCATATTTCGGTATTTTTCCAATGTTGGTGCAAATGATGGTATTTGCAATATTTTGTGTACGTTTTCAGTCGAGTTTGCTTTAATTTTATATTAACATCCACGTTTAGTATGGCGTAATACCGATCGAAAATGTAATTTCCGTTTGATAACATTTAAAATCGTATTCTCTTTTCGTTTCAATAGTATTAATTTTGATTTACGCTCGTCCGCCATGTCGGGCGCCATTTGTACAATATCGAGGGAATATATCATCAGAAATGTAATTCCCATTAAATAATATTGAAAATCTATCGTTTTTCAATTTCCACTGTACTGAAATTTGATGTATCGTATGCCACGTTGTGCGCCATTTGTACAATATCGACGGAATGTAACATCAGTAAAGTAATTTCCATTGAATAACATTTAAAAACGTATCCTCCTTTGGTTTCCATGTTATTAACGTACGCCACGTTGGGCGCCATTTGTACAATATCGACGGAATGTATCATCAGAAAAGGAATTCCCGGTACATAAGATTTCAAGTCGTATTCTTTTCTTTCTGAAATGTTTGGTTTTCATGGTTTCAGTAACATTGTGTTAGGTTTCCCATATTAAATTAAGTAGATTTTATAAAAAAATGTTTCTGCAATAGCTGGAGATTTCGTCTACAAAATCGTACAATTCAATAGTATCGTGTAAACTAGCCTTTGAAAGGAATAAAGGTTTGTTTAAACTATGCGACTGAATCAGACGATCTGTTATGTAATAAACAAAAACTGTCTTGCCTCTCAAATGACGATGGACACAATGTTATAATAATGATCCTTGTTAATATGCGCATGAGTAGCCACTATTACACCCGATGGAACTACGAATAAAAATGTCTTCACAATTGTACTATGTTAGAGATTGTTGACCTAATACATTATATAATGTTTTCTAGTGGCTGAATGATGATAGTTTGTCTGTATTGGTGAATGTTTTTACTATTTACCCTGGCATTGTCTAGAAAACCAGCAAACCGAACCTGACATCCGGCAGAGGTTACAACTAGAACATGGAACTTGCTATAAATTAGCAAAGGAAAGATAAGACTTTTGAATGTGGCATTTTTAACATTTTGGGGTTTTTGTAATAAAATGAGGATAGACTATTGTTAAAGAAACAGTACAATTTCTGAGTAGACCTTAAAGGTTCCTTTTAAACTAGACCAAATATTTTGAAATTTATCAAGAGACTATTACGACATGCTTATGAAATTCGACTACTGATTCAAATGTTTCAGCCGTCCAAATGTCTAAAAATAGATATTTAGGATTTTCTCTCTTTCGAACGATGTTTTTCCTTATGATCGATGTTAAGTTAAAAACCACCATTATGCGACGCATACTTATTGTTTTACTTCAGACTTCTGTCAGAGTTCGGCTCAGAAAGCTGTGATATCGGAAAAAGATAAATTTTTAGGATTTATACATTGGACAACTGTTAGTTTTTGATCAGAGTTTTCTGCCATAAAATAGCTTTCATGTAAATAAAAATTCTCTTTGTTAAATCGTTTGTAAGTCCAATTGAAATAGATCGGACTTATCAAATGAAAAATAATAAACAAAAAGTATCAGAAATTTGTCTCGCTGGGAAATGGTAGTTTTCAGCCTCAAGATTCGAGTTTATTTTCATGTTTCTTTAATAAAAGTTCTGCTTTGTATAACTCGTAATTATTATTTCATATATTCTTCCCAGATTTTTCGTTATTTACAAACATACATACATATATATTTTATTTACATCGAAAGAAAAGTGAATGTGAAAATATTAAGAATAAAATGTATATATTAGTAAAGTGTTAATTTAAAAAAACACGCACATTTAAAGGATTTAGTTTTTATGGTACACTGTGAACCCCCCTTTTTCATAAAAAATCCTATTACAGGGTTACTGGAAAAAATCCATATGTTTTTCACAATTACATACATACAATATTTACATTTATAAGAAGAAAAAAAATAAAACTGTGGCTTAACATATTGACGAAATCAAGCGGAATAGCTCGGATATACATATAAATATATTTATAGAACAGACATCTATGTGGGTGTTTGTTTTTTTTCTTGTGTGCCCTAGGTGTGTGTGTCTTCTAGGTAGGTGAGAGAGAGCGTGGTGTATAGGCGTGGCTTTGTGGTTAATGTTTCTTTACTTTTTTCTTTATTTGTATTGGGTGTGAGAGACATTTCAAGTGATTTCAGTGGATCACTGGAAAACCGTACGATTCAATCGCATAGTGTAAACTTGTCTTAAATTAATACAAACCTTGTATATCATCAAATTTTAAACGTTCATCTGTCCATTGTTCACGGAATGTTAGCTGTACACTGTATTCCTGTATGGCGTTGTTGGTGGTGAAGGTGGTGGATTTTGGTTGGTAGTTGTTTTATTTTTTTGATTGATTGGTTGGTTGGTTGTGGTGTGAACGTTGGTGATTTATTTTTTGAGAGATTGAATTTTGATTTTTTTTTGTTGTTGTTGGTGATTGTAATGGCGATGGTCGGACGATTTTGAATTTGAGTTGTGGAAGGACAATGGGGGATGGATACAAAAAATACATAAGTTATCATTAATATATTGCGATTATAAATATGCTTTAGGTTTTGTTTTCAACAAAATATAAATCTATTAAAAATATATCATAAGAGGTTAGATGCGTATTCTAATATTAATAAAGGGGGAGAGCTAATAAGGGGTGTCATATTTTTGGTTTGGTTTGATCATTTGCTTGTTAGTAGTAGTGATCTCATAAGAATGGGAATTTTCTGATTTCGAATTTTTTGTTTTGGTTTTTGTAGCAGGGTTTGGGTTTAGCGATAAACGAATTTTCGGTTAATGGCTTTCAAATCGTTTACTGGTTTTGATTCATGTGATGGCAATAAGCAATTTTGGGTCGTGAGTTGCTAATTTCAGAAAAACAAAACAATGTTGGCGATATTCAGTACCGATCGTTTAATGCAGATTGGGCCCAAGTAGAAAAGGGGGGTGGTTGCATTTCATTCTTGGCAATTCTAGCAATGATGATTTCGAATTTGAGAATTTTGTGGTTTACGTGGCGAGGAGGATTTTTGAGTTTGTGTCTGATTCGAATTTCTGATCTGATTCTGATTTGGGGTATCTTGTTGGTTTACTGATATGTTATCGAGCATTCCAAAGCGCATGGCAACAACTTGTTTAATGGGTTGGTTTTTTTTTTTGTTGGATTAAATACTTGTTAATACGGTTACGGTTTTGTTTGGTTATTTAAATTCAAGTTTAAGGCATTTCATTTAAATATTAACTTAAAGAAGCGAGAAGCAACAGAAATGAAGTAAAGAGCAAGTATAGAAGAAGAAGTCAAAGAAGAGGAAGTAGAAAAGAAAAAAGAATAAGCAAAGCAGGCGGTCAGGCAAAACAATTACAAACATCCATTGCTGTGACTTGCGGCATAAAGCATAGTTTTAGGCGTGCTTAAAATTAAACAAACTGACATTCACAGAAAATTGATAACAAACACAGACACAATGGTAGAAAACACACATTAAATAGTATACAGAAAACGTTTTAAGCTTATTTACAACTAAAAAAATATAATTATTACTCTTTTTATATAATTAACACATTAACTTTTACATGCATTAGCAGAACTTGTAATAATTATTGTTATTGTATTATATAATAAAAATTATAGATTTTTAAATTTTATTGCAATAATAACGACATTCATGGTTTTAATCTAATTCTGCCTGAAGGCCATTGACACAATTCATGCGGAATTGTGACATCAAAATTGGTTTAGACATTCCCGACAGAGTTACATTAGTTCATGAATGTCCTTATTATGAAATATGTAAAAATATTTTATTTATTATAGTTTTTGTGGTTGTTGTTGTAGGTTTATTTAAAGGTAATGGGAAATCATTATTGTTATTACATTATTATTATTTTTTCCAACCTATTATATTGCAGGCAATAATTGCAATTATTGAAAGTATTTATTTGTATGTTTATTGTTTTTGTTTTTTTGGTTTTAATGTAATTATATTTTTTTCATTTTAATTAAAAAAATGTGGTTAAACAAACATAAAAACCACAGTAAATTAATAATTAAAATTCATTTTAAAATTAAAAATATTATATACGTATTTATCAAATGATAATTAAATGAATTTTAATAAAAACAAATGAAAAATTTTGTATTGGACAGTTGATAGGGAAACCACAGAAATGGCAGTATATTTTACCAGTAGCAATAATATTACTAATTTGTATTTTAAATAGTGAAGTTAAAAAACATTTAATATCGATCGGATTTTGTAGTGTAAACTCCCTCTTAGTCCGATGGAAAAACTATAGGTCAACAATAACTGAATAGGATTCATTATCTTATCGTATGACATTTACATTTTTAACCCATTTGTTAATTTTTGCAAAGTTAGAGCGCGTTTAGACTGCTAAATCCACTCGATTTCAAATGTCAATTCCATAGTGTATACTTCTCCCTAATTATGTTCATTTTATTTTCTTTATTATACTTGACGTATACGCTATGGAATTAACATTTGAGATCGAGTGTTGTGTAAATCTAAACGCAGTTTTATACTAGAATTGGGAAATCTAGTTCACGGAGAGGATCAACCTGTCTCGATCATTTTTTTTAATATAGTCCCTTTGCTCCATATATTTCCGACTGCTTTAAATGTCCTTCATAACTCTTTTTGTATTAATTGTTTTGCTCACATAGTTCCGTGTTGATTTGTTGAGAGATGGAAAACTGAGCAAAAATGAAAAACAAATTAATTTCTATTTTGTAGAATATTTAGAAGCCTCAGAACTGCAGGACAATCTGTGAAAGGAAGGAGATAACAAAAAGGAACGAGATCAAATAAAATATATGAGAAAACGAAACTATAGGAACTAACGAACTGGACCTAGTTCCTATCGCTCCTTTAACGGAATAATTCGGATGAGCTTGTTCGTTCCGTAATTTTTCAAATCCATTTGGAATTTATAGTTTCTGATGTTCCAGTGAGAGGAAATCACAACAGTTGTTCCGTTACGTCTTCTTATAAATATATATAAAGATTTACAAACCATCAAAGTAATTTATATTCATCTACAAGGTATCGAAATTGGGGAGATGGATCCCCTAAAATCTTTATATGACGATGAAGTATGTCCGAAATCTGTTCAATAACATAGGTTTTCAAAAAACGGCACTTGTGCCACAGAATATGGAAATAAAGGAACGAGATCAGAGAAGCAAACGAGTTAAAAGAACGAGATCAGAAAAAGAACTAAAGAACGTGAACTAATTTATATTCTATCCCTGCGGAATTTAAAGTTTCTGATGTTCCAGTGAGGGGAAATCACGGTCGTTCGCTTAAGCCTCTATATATGAAGATCAAATAAATTTATTTTCATATACCAGCCATCGAAAATATGGTGGGATTCACTTAAATTTTTGTATGGCGATGAAGCATGTGCGACGCCCGTTCAAAGACATAGATGCTCCAAATTGTGACACAGGACATTGATGACGTACTTTAAATGATTCGTCGCCATGTGCCACATCGCGAGATAATGGCATCCTTGGTTATTTCTTCTACCAGCATACATTCGACAATGCCTGAATGCTCTCGTTGGATACCGTTGGATGTGGCAAACAGTTAAAAAAGGATCGTGTCGATTGGTGAAACAAAATTACAGGTGATCCTCGTGGATCTACCGGGTAAGTCTTCCAAGACGAGAAGAAATGGTCGACTATTTATTAGGGCAAAACTGAAAGTTTCGCTTAAGCAATGTAGGGCTGTCAATTGTAAGTGGCACTAGGGGTAAGTAAATCGACTTTCGACTAATCGATTAATCAATAGTTTGTACTAAAAATCAAAAAGTGCGCAAAAATTCGCTCGCGAATGAATTAAAATACATTCTTTTCGATAAATTCTTTACCAAACGAACATTCGCCAAAGATTGTCCGCACACATATACCAAACGAGTGAGAGCACACAACAACGATCATTCGTTTCGTTTGGTGGTTGAAATTCTTTCTGACATTCTCTCACGAATGAAAACAAACATTTCCGAATTCTCGCGAATGCTCAAAACAGCAACAACAAACGTTCGTGAACTCAATAGTTGTTGGACATGTGTTTTGTTATTCCACACACTCTCTGCTACTCACACATTCATTTGTTGTGTGTGTGTTTATTTTTTTATGATATTTTTGTTTGTGGTTGTTTTTAACAGTGCTCGCGAGCATTCACGAACATTTGTTTTTTGAGTTTTTCAAAAGAATGTTCTTCAGCAATAAATGCTCGCGAACGAACGAATCGACGACGCTTGAAGCGAAATTTTATCGTTCGTGAATTTTTCGTACAATGCGAACATTCGCAAGATATTGCAAATTATTGTTTATTCATTGTAACTTTATCATTCGCTATAAATTGAAAAAGATTCGAATTCTCGCCGTGGGCATTCATGAGAAATAGTGTATTTTAATCATTCTCCGCACCCTGACAAAAAGTCGACAAAATCGCAAAGTTGAATTTTCAAGATCGACTCGCTCGGGAGCTGTTGAATATCGTCTATGACGATGCAAGTTACCTGAAAAAGCCAGACCTCGTACGATACATGTGTAATGCTGACGAGTTCAAAACCAGTGTTTTTGTTTATTATAAATCGAGGTAAATAAAGTTCAACTCGAACTAAATGGTAGATGTTTAGACTAGTATCGGTCTTATAATTCCTGTGGTCACACACGTGTTGCATTTTAAAATGATCTCGATTTCTCACCGAATTTGGAGCATGTCGATAAAATAAATGGACCAAACCAAAAAATTAGAGTGCATTCTTTGAGGCAATTGCTCTGTTTGTTCCTTTCTAACCTAAAGAAGCTCGATTGTCTAGAAGCATTTGAGAAAAAGATTGGTTAACACTGCAAGCTGAAAGAAAGACAATATATTTAATATTAATTAGGTAGAATTATTATTGCTACTGTTTTATAAACTGTCCAACATTTTCAATATATAAATTTAAGAAATAACGACTAAAATTCTAAAATAAAATTAAAAGAAACTTATCCTTATTGAAGAACGTTGATATAACATGCATTTGACACCAATCATTTAATTGTTCATTGTCATTGGAGGAACAAGCCAAACAAATGATAGAGAGGCAGAAAACGGACATCATGCTGAATAAACCAAAATCAGAAATAAAGAAAACCGAACAGAAACCGAAAATGGGGATAAAAATGAAACGAAAATTTTAATACTCCAAAAAATAAACTTTATTAAAAAACATAACAAAAAATTACCAAGGAACTTATATTAAATATTAATGAAATTATGAAAA